AAAAGCAAAATACCGATTTTTTGCATTGAGATGGGTTATAATTATAGCATTTATAAAAAAATAGCTTCTTCGAAATTTTGCCCCGAGCAAATAAGAATGGCAACTAAATGCCACTTTTTTCCAAGCATGTTTGAAGCTTTTTCTACCTTTTATTTGAGGGTATTATTCACTGTCATCAAAAGTAGATCAGTCCCTCTTCATCAGTCTGCTCTTAGGAGCAGATATAAAAATGAAAGCCCCTGAAATTTTGCCATGTTTTCACATTTTTAGCATAACCTGCAAAGAGTGCGGACGTTTCGTTCGTACCCTACCGCGTCGTCTCTATTGGCTCGCCGTGTGCGCTGAATGGCACTGGATGTTGCTGGTCTCGCGGCCGGTGCGTGCGCTCCGGGAGAGGTGTTTATGGGCGGATAGAACGCATCTTTAACTGTCGTCCGGTTTGATGGTCGACGATCCCTATTAGATTGCCTTCTCTTTTGTAGGTGAGAGAGAGATAGAGAGGGGGGGGGGTGAGTGAATGCTCGCGCCGCTGAAGCTCGGCTGCGAAAGCTTTTTTTCACAACAACAATAACGTCTGTCTCTGCTCGGTAAAATGACCACCGAATGTCCGAAAGTCATTAAAGAAATATATACTCTAGCGATATATACTGCTTCTGCTGTTGCTGGACTCGCGGCGAACGCAGGAAGCTTCCGGAAGTCAAGTGTCTGAAAAAGGGGAAAAGTGCGCTGTGTAAATTATAACCTTGCAGTGTCCCGCCCGGGCCCGGGGGACATCCTCCTCCAGCTTTTCCTTTTCCTTCTGTCTCGCTATCTATCTACCTTCTCTCTCTGTCTCTTCCCTCTTTTTCCTTTCCGGGCATAACTCCTTGGCGGTGAACTTCACCGGACATCATTATTGACAAGGCGAAAAAAAAAGAATCCATATAGCCAAGCATCTCGAGCCAACATCATCATATTATCGTAATAATTATAATGATAATTAGGCAGCTCGATGGACAGAAATGATTCGAATAGCTGGAAGCCAGCGGCGGATGGAGACTGCCAGCTGCTGTTTCCTCCGCGAGCAGGAGGTAGTATATACAGTAGTAGGAACAAAGTCGAGGCATTCCAGATGGAATGTTAGGTGAGGTGATATACGTTAGCAAAGCAGCGAAATTTACGATTATAATCGATCGAGGAATCATCATCTCTGCCGTAATTAAATAAGAGTCTTCCTCATACTCCTGCAATGAGCGATCTGTGCCCGCGGATTACATGGTTGCCTCGCGTCACGCTGTTGTGTGCACCTTTGATGCACACAACTTCAATAATCTAATTAAAATCATGACAAAATCCGAACGTCGATTAAGCTCATGTTACGATCAGCGCGAGCGGAGAATGGCCCGGCGGCCGGATGTGGCGCTGCCCCCTTCCACATTCTCTGTGGGTGAGGACTAGCGCAGACAGACCGGCTCTGCCTCCTCTCGCTCTGCCCTCCCGCTGTGCCGCTCACACTTATTCCTAGTTTTTGGACGAGTAGGGACGCGAGATAATTGGATATCCAAAAAAGGTGTGTGAGAGAGAGAAATAGTTCGTAGAAGTAGGAGCGGGCCCCACCCTCTTTTGCAGACGTGGAGCGTGTGCAAAAGGGTGAGGTGGCCAGCTGCGATTCTATTGGTCTAGGGAGGTCACGTGATGCGGAGAGGCACTGGTCCTTATAAGCGCTGTGCGGGAGGAGCTCCGGGTCAGTTCAGTCACTTCAGTCAGATCAGCAGGTGGAGACAGTTGGGACGGTCGGTCGGGAGGAGCTCATCAGGAATCAGCGAGAGTGGACCAGTGCGCCTCCGGACACCATGACAAAGGACTTTTCAGTAGTAAGGTTATAGGTGAGCAGTGTTGGAACTCATGGTTTGGAGTGTGTTGAAAGTGTATTGTCTCGATGGAAAGAGTGCAGTGTTGCGTATATTGATTAATTGAATAATAATATTTATAAAGACATGCAAGGACTTCACCCTTTCCTTACCTCACCCATCAGATAATCACCCATCGATCAATGGATTCTCAATCAGCACTGATACAAATACTATTTAATAGAACTTAAATAATTATCAGTCACAGAGAGCGACTGGCTATGTTGCACCAAAAATCTGGTTACACAACAACGCATATACGGGACTGCCCCGCTGACCGGCTGCCTCGTCTGTCCCGGCGGAGTGAACAGAGGTATCAGCCTTTGGTAATGATGCAGTAGCGGGAGGACGTTCTCCCCCCACCTCCTACGACGGCGACCCCGCGAGGAGCAGAAGCAGACCCGTTGGTCCGTGACGGGGGGAAGGGGGCAAAGCGCTGCGTGTGTCTCTGTCGCACCCGAGGAGAGTCCAAAGGACAGGTGACGTGGCGGGAGAGAGAGAGAGAGAGAGAGAGAGAGAGAGAGAGAGAAAGAGAGAGAATGAACGGTTGAGGAAATGACGCAGAGCTGCTAAGGAAATCTGTGGCGTGGTGTGGCGCTCGGGTTTGGCCCCGCGGCGTGTCGCGGTGCGGCGGTCTGCACCGCGAGCAGACGGCCCGACCCGGCCGTCCCCAACCTTAGGATGAGCCGCGGTCCGGCGGCCCGGCCGAGTTTGGCGCGCGCAGAACCTGTTCTGGAAGTGTCCTCTGGCGGCCGGCGGCCCCGCCTGCTCGCCCCCGTCTGGGCTTCTCCGCCCCGCCTCTCCCCGCGCCGCCCGGCGCCGTGCCCGTGGTGTTTCCCCGGGGAGAGACATCATAGACACCAACTGCTACTTGGATGACGACGACGCCACTGACGTCTGCGAGCACGAGGAAACTCAATGAGGAAAAAATAGGATTGCACGCGATTGACGGCCATCGTTTTCGTCACATCGCACTACTTTCAATTTAAAAATAACAGTATTGTGATATTTGACGTAATAAAATATTTATTTGAATACTTAAACAAGGAGTGGGATGGATTATGTCAAATAAGTGTTTTGTGTCACGTTCCAACACGCGGCACAATTGTTGTTCACTCGATTGTTTGCTCTGACAGCTCCGGTCGTACAGTACACTACCGTGCGCTGTGGGTTCGACTGCCGGTGAGGGGCGGGGACTGGCGGGACCTTCTTTCTCATGGACAGCCCGCCGCCGGCGCTTCGTTTGCTATGACGGTAGCCTTTAGGAAGTAACGACATAGAATGGGGCTTCTCATGATGCAGTCCTTCTGGGAATCGCACAATTACTAAGATGTGCTCACCCGCCCCCGCCCGCGGCTCGCCTAGAGGCCTCGACACCGGCTTGCCCACCGCCACAATCCCACTCTTGATATGCTCTAGTGTGAGAGGCACGACGATGTTGCGCACTGCAGTCGATAAATAATGCGAGGAGAAAGAAAGCAAAGCAATGGATTGAAAAAACAAATATTTTGAGAGGTGCAGTAAAACACATAAACAGCGAATTGTTGATTTATTTCACGCCTTTTACCGCTCTTTGCATGGACGAATATCTTTGTTTTTCATCTAATTCCCACACCGTTGTGTCTGGGATTCATGAAGAGTGATTTCCAGCAGCAGCCTCCATCATGCGCACTGCGCGGAGGCCGGGGTCGCGGTCCGCTTAACCTCGCCATCATATTTAGATTATGGAAAAAAGGGGGGAGAGGGAAAAGAGAGTGAGTGAAATTAAGAGCAAGTGATTGGAGCCATGCGGGCCGCGCACCGCGGGAGGCGAGGGCGACGGGAGGGCTAAGCTGTCCCCGCAGCCCCAATCGCGGGATGGCCATTCTGATGCCTTTTGACTTCAATTGACCCAAATTTGGTCGATTTCAAGTCGGGTGAGCCGGCGAGAGGCGCGCGCGGGTACTGCGGGGCCGAGCCGCGGGAGTTAACTCGCTCAATCTACGCTGTGTCTCTGGCCGCGAGGCGCGGCGTGGCGCGTCGTCGCGCGGCGTGGCGCGCCCGAGGAGTCTGGATGGATGTTGTCTTAGGACGTCACACGCCTTAAGTGGCGCCTGGATCGACGGTCGCGAGCTGTGTCGTATGAGCGAGTATGCACGGCAAGCCTTCGGCGGTTCTTATAACTATGTAAAATATTCTGTTCTCATTCGTGTTATTATGAGGTTAGAATATGTTATACTAACTTTCCGAGGAATTTTTCTTATTTTCGATTTTTTCTCCCTCCAGTCTCCACTGCAACTTATTTCGTTCTTCCGGAAGAAGAAATAAAGAAAGCAATGGATGCAACACTATCCCGTCGTTATAGGATTAGCAGCAGCCCCACGGCCTCTGCTTTCGCCTGATAACGATTTTACTGGCGCGAGCCTCATCTCCGAACTCGTCATTCCTTTTTTTTTCTTCTTCCCCCGCTGTTTGCTGCTGCTTAGCTCTTTGCCCCTCTCCGCTCTCGCCTCCCTCAAACTGAGCGAGATAATCCCTTTCCTGTCGATATGGAGTGGTGATATCGCATGCATGCACGCCTGGTGGGGTTGAGTTGTGGAAAGGAAAGGGGGATTGGGGAGAGAGGGGGGGGGGATATTTGTCCGGGTCAGCCGTCGCGGCATACCTTCACGCTCCAGCCGCTCCGGCGGCGGGAGTATTAGGGGTGTACGGGACGCGACAGAGTGTGTGCGAGAGAGAGAGAGAAGCAAGTGCGTGAGAAGGAGGGGGACGGAAGAGGTGCGGGGGGAGGGGGCATCGCTCTCTTTCTGTCACAAAGCGTGTTCGTCCAATGAACGACATCAAGTGCCGTTTTGATTAGTAGTGACATGGAAGTAATGAGGCGCGCTGCTACGGCCGAGTCACCCCGAGGGCGAGAGCGCGAGGGGAAAGGGGGAAGGAAGGGGAGACTGTGTTATTTTCATTGATTTATTGCGTTCAATCAAAGTTCAAATTGCTAATTTCTCTCGTGCTGTTTTAACGCGGTTTCTCCGTTTGTTTTCGTGTTGCAGCGGTCATCGCCGTCGTGCAGCCCCAGCCGCAGCCCAGGACGCAGCCCCGGACGCAGCCCATCCCCGCCGTCCAGCGCCTCACCCGCGCCACCCACGGGGGCCGCGACGGCCACCTCCGCCCCTGCGCCACCCCCGGCCAGTGCCACCCCGCAGCTGCGCGCCGCCACGCCGGCCGCCGCCAACCCCGGGGCAGCCGCCGCCGTCGCGGCCGCGCGGTCCCCGCCCCTGCGGTCGCCGGCGTCGTCGCCAGCACCCGCGCCCGCCGCGGCCGCCACCCCCGCGCCACCACCTCCGGCCGCTGAGGAGCGCTCCACCTTCACCGCGTCCGCTGGCCCCGGCCCCGGCGCCGGCATGCCCGCCCTCAAGCAAGAGCACGACGGCAAGAGCACAGGTGAGTGAGTGGGAGAGGTGCCGAGTCATGCGCCTGGAAAGGATTAGGCCGAATCCGGCCTCCAAGCCCCCCGGTGCTGCTGGAGGAAAGAAAGATCGTTAGGAGAAAAAAAATGGAATCAAGTAGCAGTGAATGAGGCGTCAAAAAGGGCGGTCCGTGGTTGAAGAGAGAGAGAGAGTTAGAGTGCCACGGACGGATAGAGAAAGAGAAGAGTTGAGGCAAGCAGACGCAGGTCGGTGGAGTTTGTCTTTGTGTCGCCGCGAGAGGCCGGTTGTTTTTTGGCAGCGAAGTGAATTAGCATCTCACTCACTGATGCCCCGTGACAGTCCGACGGCCCGTCCGTCTGTCCGTCCGCCTTACCCGCCCGCCTGTCCCCCCTTCTCACTCCCTCTCTCTTCTTTTCCCGCGCCGCCCTTAATCCCCTGGTGGAAACTCCTTCCCAAACGGATTCCCTGATCCCTTTCTTACCTCCACCCCCGCCCGCCCCCTGTCTGCCGTGCGCTTAGCTCTCAAAGGGTTTCCCCGTG